CTTGCCCTAAAAATAGCTAGTATTCATTCGTGATCAGCAGGGTGCGCACGTGGCACTACCACTCATAGCCAGGTTATCTTTTTCCATCTGGATTCGATCCCAGGTCTGCATTTCGATGATTCATGGGTGCACGGACTGAGAGCTAAAATCTGGTCCGACTTTCAGTTCGGATATAGCGACAAGAATGATCTGGCGTTCTCGTAAGGTGCAGACGGTAGGCAGCATAGCTGAATTTGGTCCAACTTTCAGTTCGGATGCAGACGGGACGCCCGTTGTTTGTAGTAGCCAAGTTTGTAGCCAAGCTTTCGTGCCCTGAAGTGGGACTTTTTATCGCCAGATCGTCATTCCCATCAGCTGGGCAGTCTATATATATATATAGTGTGTGACAATATATATATCTATATCTATATATTGATATAGATATATGTACGTTGTCGTTTTCTTCCTCTCTGCCTACGGTTTACCGGACAGCCCTGTTTGACGATATACCCCTCGTTTGTTGTCCTCTTCTCCTTCTCTGGCTGGGGTTTAACGGGAAGCTCTGTTTGACTCTATATATACATTAATTAATATATAATAACCACAACCGGGGTTAAGGTGGATTATCACTTAACAGTGTAATCATCAGGTTAGGGGATTCTGCAGACTGGTGAGGGTTCAGCTTCCTGATGAGTAGGAAGGGGAAACTCCGACAAAAGAGTTTGTCACAGCCCCCCATGGTTTGTTGTTGTTGTCCTCTTCTCCCTCCCTCTATGCCTATAGGTTTACCGGGCAGGTCTGTTTGACGATATACAATATACATTTATATATATATGTATTTAATAATGTTGGTAGGGGTTATGTATCTGGTTGTGTCATTCTGCTCCACGGGTACTTATCTTACCTTGGCCACGTCATCATTCCCATCAAGAGGGAGGGAGTTATCTACGGCCAGGGTATCAATCCCTTCAAGAGGCATTTAGTTAAGGCTACCTCCTTCCCCCGAACGTAATGGACGTTCAGTATGGATGTACCTTACCAGAAAGGTAGCTTGTATACATATGGTCATTGTTGTCTGGGTGCGTGAAGTTCGGGACAAGACGCTGGGCTCTCAGGTTTATCAATCCCATACGGCGCCATCTAGAGGGGTTTATGGCTAGGTTTCCTGGTGAAGGAAGTCCTCTTCATCAAGAGGAGTCCTCGCGTGGTCAGGTTAGGTTTGGTTAGGCTAGGTGAGGTGAGGTTAGGGGTGGGGTGAGGTGAGGTGAGGTGAGGTTAGGTGAGGTTAGGTGAGGTGAGGTGAGGTTGGGTTACGTTACGTGAGGTTTAGGCTAGGTGTCTATGATTGAGATTGAGTGCCGTTGTGATTGAGATCGAGTGCCGTTGGACTGTGCTCGTTGTTGTGGCGAGGGTCGTAAGGGAAAACCCGTCTTCACCCGAATAACCATTTGTTCTACTGGGGGGAAGACAGTTATTGTCGCTGTATTTAGACTGAAAGTTGGCCCAAATACACCTAAAATGACCCAACGTTCTATTCGGAGAAAAATGCGTGGTGTAGAGCGCTGTCAGAGGGAACCCCTTCTTTGTGTGAGCAGGGAAGCACCATGGCAAAATTTATTATTATTATTATTATTATTGTTGTTGTTGTTGTTATTATTATTATTGTTGTTGTTGTTATTATTATTATTAGTCTATTACGGGAAAAGTTTCGAAATGCCCCTGAAGTTTGTGTTTATTTGCGGCGTGCCCCTCTGACAGCCGACTTACCTTGTTGCGCCCCTCTGACGACGAATGATGTTTCCAGAAAACACCTGGCGTCCTTTGGGCCTCAAACATGTTTCAGATGCCCCTACCGGTACCGGTACCAAATTTTCAGCTACCGGCTGCCTGTTGAGAACCAGCAGAAAAGTTCCCCATATGCCCTTACCGGTACCGTCCATCTTTCCGGCAAGCCCCTGTCGCCGTTGTTGACACTCGCAGTCCATACGAGGGAAGAGGAGGGAAGAGGGGGGAAGAGGAGTAGGGAGGACAAGGACTACGCCGATGGACGAGGATAGAGGATGGAGGCTGGAGAGAAGAGAGGAGAGCGACGAGCATGGATGGAGGAGGGAGGAGGGCGATGAGCATGGGTGGAGGAGGAGGGAGCAGCAATCCATGGCGCGGCGAACTTGAAGACTGACTGCTGCACCATTTTTCTGTGGCGGCGTGTGAAATACCTACCATTTTCGAGTTCGAATTCCTGCCGCCACTGCTGCAAGGGCATCACAGAAAGATGTGTGCCCCTCGTGAGGGCTTTTCAAGGACGGACCGACGAAACGTCAGCAGGGGTCCAGTAAGGGCATATCGGAAAGTTACGCCCCATGCTGACAGGGGCCTACGGAAAATTTCAGAGGCCCGAGGGGCATAACAGGGTAAGTCGGCCTCCACAGGGGCACGCTGCAAATAAACGCAAACTTCAGGGGCATTTTGAAAATTTTCCCTTCTATTATTATTATTATTCTTTTGCAGAATTTGGTGAAAAAAAAACTTGCAGGCCCCTTCGCGTGATATATACATCTCTTCACTAGACTTCATATATATATCGTCACAAACAGAACTGCCCGGTAAACCGTAGGCAGAGAGAGAGAAGAGGACAACAAACGAGGGGCTGTGACAAACTGTTTTATATATATACTGATGATATATATATATATCAAACAACCCTACTAAAGCTTATTGGCCGCGGCACCGAGTCTCGCATCTGCAATGGTCCACGTTAGTGTTTTTGCATCGCGAAGCGTGAGACGTCCGATGGAAAATTCTGACACGCGATCGTTTGCATTGCGAAGCATGAGACGTCCGATGTAAAATTCTGATGCGCCTGACGCGGCGCGCCCGGCGCGTCTGATGCATTTGGCGTTTGTTTTTTTCTCGGGCGCACCTGACACGTCTGAAGGGTGATATATATATTTTTTCTCTTTTGGTGTAAAGTACTTTAGTGACAAGCGAAGGCTAACAACCATCACCTTCACTTGCCAACGGGATTTGAGACAGCTCGACAAACGGGGTGGCAAAAGAGGGGTCTGAAAAGAGGGGTCGGAAAAAGAGGGTTCAGAAAAAGAGGGGGTCGGAAAAAGAGGGGGTCCAGAAAAGAGCGAAGAGCAAGAAACAGGGGGGTAGCCAAAGGAAAAGGGGTTCACGAAAAGCGGTTAAAAAAAAGGCGATTTAAGGAATCAGTCAACAAAAAAAGGGGGTAAAAAAGGGGTAGCAAGGGTTGACAAAAGAAGGGGTGAACAACTAAGGGGTGGCAAAGCCAGTTCGGCATGTAAAACAGGGGGCTAGAATTTGGATCCATGAGTAAGGGCCCCGTGGATCAGACCACAGGGATTAAACAGTGGATAGGCCTATGGATTGAACCATGGATTGATTGAACCATGGATTGAACCATGGATTGAACCATGGACAATGGGTGGAGCCATCGATGGAGGAACCATTGGGCTAGAGGACTAATGTATAGAACCACGGATGGATCATGGCCCCATGGAGGCCATGGATGGGGCCATGGATGGCCCCATGGAGGAACTATGGCCCCATGGATGGGGCCATGGATCATGGCCCCATGGCCCCATGGCCCCATGGAGGAACCATCGATGAAAGAACCATTGGGCTAGAGGACTTGTGTATAGAACCATGGATGGGGCCTTGGATGGATATGACGAGCAGTCCGGTTGCTCATCTTCACAACGAATTGCTGTCTCACGTGACCATCACCGTCATGAAAAGATGCAGTTCAGTCTATTGCGCGTCTGATGGACCAATTCATGGACCAATGCATGAACCAACAATGCATGGACCAACCAATGTCTTGACCGATCTATCACTTGTCTGATGGACCATGTATGGACCAATCTATGGACCAATGCATGGGCCAAAATGATTTATTGCTTGTCTGATGGACCAATCTGTTGCTTGTCTGATGGCACATTTGCATGGACCAATCTCTTGTTTGCTTGATGGACCAATGAATGGACCAACATGACGGAATTTTTACAACTTCTGACACAACAGATCCCTGCAGATCTGCAGACGAGCAACGGGACTACTCATTGCATTGTCCAGTTGCTCATCACTTTATCCAGTTGCGCATCATATGATCTTGCCCTGCACGGAAGGAGGTAAATGTGATGCGGTTGGCCAATTTTTCTCACTTAACATCTCACATTACCCCATTAGAATAGATGAATGGTCATGTGGGGTATTGTGTGAGGAGGGGGAGGGAGGGACTGAAGACACTGTAAGTATTCCAAGATTTGCTTTTGAAGTGCGCAATGTAATTGATAAACAATGGTTTCTTTGGCTGTGGACTGGACCGTGTGTCTGCCCCATGGACCATGGGTTTGTAATTTTGTATTAATTGGACCCATGGATTGAGCTGTACCATGGATGCCTGGACTGGCCCATGGGGGTATCAGGCATGGAGGCGAGAGTCCGAGACTGGACCATGAGGTTTCAGTGTGGTGTTTGTAGACCGCAGCATTTGGAGTTGGGAATGATTTCCCTCCCCCGCCCCACTAAGTAGATTGATTGACTGATGAGAAAAAAAAAAAAAAGATCGACTAATGAAATGATAGCAGCGGCTAGACTGAGTTTTGACTTTTTCTGTTTGTTGGCATCACTGCGGATTTGGTTTCGAAATGTGGGGAAATTAAAGTGCAAGTTCTGGATGTCCTTTGGGACATGCATTAAATGGATTGGAATGATGCAGAAAAGATTAGCATGGCCGCTGTGTGAGGATGACACACATAAATCGAGAACTGGTCGAAAATTCTCTCTATATATTAAGTAAAAGAAGAGAGAAAGTGCGAGTTCTGGAGGCAGAACTGTGATTGCTGAGGAGGAGCATGGCAGATTTGATCTGGGAATGGTGGGTTTGATTTGAAAAAAAAATGACGGACTTAATGTGGACAAATGACGGATTTGATTGCAACAGGACCATATGTTTCTTGTTGTTCGTGTGGTGAAATGTAACTGTTTGTTAGCAGGTGGTGGAGGCAGGAGCGCGATCTCTGAAGATGATTTTCCAATCGTCGTTGGCGCCGAAGAACGACGTGTTTCAATGGCAGACTCTTAATCAGGTGCTCGAACTGCTGCAGAGTGAAAATGACAGTGTTGCGGAGGTGGCAGCTAGTTTGCTGGCGCATTGTTGTGACAGCGAGGAGCGCCAGGTCATGCTTGGGAAAGCAGGTGCCATGAAAAGACTCTTGCCCATGCTTCATCCCAAGTGTTCGCAGAAGAAGGTGGAGGCAGCTCTAGATGCCATAGCCGCTATCACCCAAGACAACGAGGATCATTGCCACACTCTTGTGCATGCAGGTGGAGGGAGCGTTTTGGAAGAGATCCGGACGAAACTGATTCGCCACGAGCTGCCGCGCATGCGCCTCCATGCGTGCATGTGTCTCGTTAATGTGTTCAGGTCTTGGTCAGGGGGTTTCCTCAAGCAGCGGGAGATCCGACTCAGCATACTCTGTGTGCTGCTGAAGCTTATTGATGAACCTGGCAGGGTTGGGGAGGATGCGCCAGGTGTGCTTGCACGCTTCTTAGGCGACAGTAATCAGCTCCAGAGGGAGGTGAGAGACCTTCAGAAGGAGGCCGTCTGTGAAAAGGATGGCGTCGCCATGCTTGCCGGCTTCTTTAAGAAAGTCTTCATGAATGCAAAGCACAAAGAGAATGTGATCAACGCACTAGCACAACTTTGCGCTAATCTGGAAGAGGGACGTCGTCAAGTAGTAGACCTAAAGGTAAGCAAGCGCATGCGCACCCACCCACCCACACCCACACCCACACCGACACCCACACGTACACTCACCCAGCGACCCACACATGCACAGACACACATTCTGGTCCTGGTAGCTCTCTGTCCCAGGAGATTTGAGCAGCTAGGATCGGGCTCGTACTAGTGAGCTATTCTTTTTTGGTGGGTGGATATATTTTGTTGTGTTGTTTAGTATGCATGGCGTAATTCTTTGCCCTGCTTTAGTGCATGGGCTGTCGTTTTGATGAAGGAATGTCTGTGGGTGGCTGCGAGCTTTTCTTTTGGGGGTGGGAATGTATGTTTGGAGTCTTGCGCACAGTCTCGTCGCGAGGAGGTTCTGAGAGTGTTTGCTGCGGGTATCATTCCCACGGTCTGCTCTTTTGGAACACATGGAAGAAATGGGTATTGCTTCTAGGGTGTTTTAAGCAGTACGCTCCTGGTGTCACGTGAAGATCTCGTGGAGTTTGGGATTATGACACTCTATACACTCTAGGGGCTAGAAAGCAAAGTGAAAGGGTGGATGTCTAGCCATTGAGTGATAGAGATGGTGGTGACGTGAGTGTGTCGTTTGGGATGAATAGCAGTGCCAGTGATGTTGGAGTTGTGCAATTAATCTTGTGGCTTTGTGGACCCACTCAGAGGGCTCTCGATTTTTTTTCAGACAAATGGAGGGTGTGGTCGGTGCTTTCTTGCTGCTGGAGCCGTCTGTGTTTGGTATATTACTATATTGTTGCCTTTTGCCCTCAATCCTTTTATTGACTTTTTTTTAAAAAAATATATATACAAGTTGTGCAAGTGTGCCGCTTCGGCGGCAGACGGATTTGTGGGCACTCGGTGCTTAACCGCACAAACGTGGCCAACCTTGCATCTTTTACTATATACTTATTTTGTTTGATGGATAGCTTATGATGATTCATCGATGGAATGAGGAAGAGAATTTGAGGTTTCAGAAACACACACACACACACACAACCTTGTAAACTGGGTGCGCAGAGTGGGTTTTGTGGCTGTGATGGATGAGTTTTTCTGGGACCCTTGAAGGAGCTTGTCACAGTCACAGTCACTCCTTTTTTTGTGAAGTTTTTGTATCAATGCAAAACATACACACACACAGACACACCGACAGACCTACACAAAGGCACAGCAGGCATCTGGTTTGGAAAAGGGTTGCCAAACGCACAAACACACAAACACACACAAACACACACAAACACACAAACACTCAAACACACAAACACACAAACACACAAACACACAAACAGACAAACACACAAACACATGCAATCATTTCCAAGCTAGTCAGATGGAAAGGATGTTGTAGTTGCGGTGGTAGCCTTTCCTTCCATCCCTGAAAACTGGCCCAGGCCTGGAGGCTGCTCCTGAAAAGGCAGTGGTGGTTTAAGGTGGATGTGAGCGGGAGGAGGGCGTGGGAGAATACTTGAGCACGGGTGACTATACTTAAGCACGTGTGTAGTCATGCTCGTGTATAAGAAGGGGGACCCGGCAGACATAAGAATCTATAGGCGTATGACACTACTGCCCGGTCATTTACTTGGTATTGGTGGACCTCCTGGCAAATAGACTGAGAGAAATAGCATGGGGGTGCTTTCATATAGACCAGACGGGATTCATCCCTGGTAGATATACATATTGGATAGCGTTGCAACCTTGCCAGAGTCGGTAAGATACATAAAGGAGAAAACAATCAATGCTGCAATTCTGTTCTTCGACTGTGAGAAGGCCTACGACCACGTCAATTGGTAATTCCAGCAACAGTGCATGGAGAGAATGGGGGTAGGTCCTAACTTCTGATGATGGGCCAGAGCTCTCTACAGGATGCACACTGCAGGGTTCAGCGCTACGGCTTTCTCTGAGATCGGTATAAATGTCCAGGTCAGTCCGTCAGGGAGACCCACTAGCGGTTCCCCTCTTCCTCTTCACCACGGAGGCCATAGAAAGGACCCATCAATAGACCGACTGATAGAAGACGGTCCCGCGGACCCGCACACAGTCTGCCTCCCCACTACCGTATTATTTGCGGACGACCTCACTGTCCTCATTAGAGCTTCGGACTCCTCCTTCGAAGCGCTCACTAGGGCTATGCAGGCGTTCCAGTTGGCATCTGAAATGTGCACCAACTGAGTGAAAACTGTCGGCTGGTGGTTGACAGAGCAGGATCTTCCCACTCCGAGGAGCTCCCCGCAGGGACTGCAGTGGTAGGCGGCGACAGAACCGTGTCGATACCTGGGCGATTGGGTGTCTCATGTGGGCCCCGCACACTCCCAAGCACCTGCCATCCCGACTAAGATGTTGAACAAGCTGGAAGTGTGGTCCGCGGGCTACACGTCGGTGTCCGGGGGAGCCCTAGTCCTCAATTCTTCGATCTTCTCTATGCTGTGGTACGCCACCACAGTCTGGAGCCCCAATGTGGTGTTGAGCAGGCCCTTCAGGGAGAGAGCTGTGGCCTACCTGTGGCCTGGCAACTTGACCAAGCAGGGTCATCCCAAGGCAAGTTGGAAGTGCGTGATACTGCCCAAGAACAACGGAGGCCTAGGCGTTATCGACCCCGATCGACAGGTCAGGGTGCTGCAGACGAAGTGGCTCATCAAGCTGATCACACAGACCACCTGCCCTGGCACAACCTCGCCCTTTATCACATAAGGAAAATCCCAAGATTCTGCAGGTCATGGCAAAGTCATGGGTGACTTGGGACTTGGGGGCGGGGGGGGGCAAGACACTGGCAAGTCGCTCTGAAGAACCCCCCGAGTGAGAGATGCCGCATTTTGGTCCTGTTTGATCGAGATATGGAGAGAGATAACGCCCGGGAAGGTAAGGCGACAACATAACATAAATGAGGTGCTCCAGCAACCGCTGTTCTGCATCCAGTGGATAACCGACAGCAGGGGTAGGCCATGGACGGTTATGACGACGGACGCAGGTTGGGGGTCCTGGTTATCGAAGGGGGTGTAGCAAATAAAGCACATCTGGGACGAGGATCACCACTGGTGGAAGACCTAGAGGGAGCTCACAGAGACTCTTGGGGGCTGTCACAACCTTCAGGCCAACTTCAACGGAAAACTGCGTTCTATCCCATCCGACTGGTCAAACATTCTGCGAGGACCAGTGACTTGGGCGAGATGGGACTGGGCCACACTGGCCAAAGAAGCTGCACTGGGCACCGTAATGGATTTCATCAGGCGAGAGTGACCGGATGGATAATGGCTCCTCTGCAACATGCACGACATTCTTGCGCCCAGTGTGCCTGTCAGTCGAAATACGAATCTTGAACCGGCCGAATAGGCCTGGAAAGTCTTGACAGCACCCGTCCTCGCCCGCAAACACGAAGCTGGGATATAGACTGAGGAGCAGACCGGTAGCTGCGGAAGACGCTGTGGCATCCAGATGGGCGAGGCACACGGGCACTATCCTCGACCCACAGCATAGCATTCATGTACTGCGCCCTTCCGGTCAAGCAGTAGCTATGTGAATGCACGAGCCCCCAACGAAGAACACGGGGGGATGACCTCTGTCCCGTCTGCGGAATGAGAGAGGTGGTAAACCTAGTCCACTGCCTAATCATGTGCCCCAAGGCCCAACAAATCTGGGACAGTGTCGCACTCGTGTGGTCTTCGCCCACAAGGACACCCCTCCCGGACGTAGAACTCCAGACCCTCACAGGCTTCACAAACAGCCCGGACCTGGCACCTTTTCAGCGCGTACTGCATCAAAGACTCCGCCCCATAACGCTGTGGACCATATGGAAGAGAAGATGCATGGAGGCGATCGACAGGAAGCAGCAGATGCTGCAGCGAGCGTGGGAGCAGCTCCTCTCTCTGCTGGAGATGGAATTCTGTTTGGACTGGAGGACGACCACAAAAGAGATGGTTAGAGACCCGGACAAGGCACGGATCATCCGGCAGCAATTCAGTGACAATCAGCTGGGAGCGGGAAGAATAGGGAAACTAGAGGGGGGCAAGCTTCATCTCAGATGATATCCGGGCAGAGGGCAACTGACACCAATCTGGACAAAGGACCTGCCCACTAGTGGGGGTGCCCTCGACATGCCTCGATCAGACGGTTGGGCCACAATGACACGCAGGCGACACCCTGGGGTCTCCCGGAGTGACCATGCTGTGCAGCACGGGATCAGTGCCTAGTATTTGTCTGATTAGACGCATGGGCTCGAGACCGCATGGGTGGGTAGCAATGTCGGCTTGAGCCCACGCAGGGGAATGAGAGGGATGGATAGGCAAGGGACAGGGAGTGGTAGTACAGCACAATAGGCTAGCTTAGGCAGGGGTGAGAGGCGGTACATCCTTCCAATCTGGAAGCCATTAGTGCTGCCCGCTCGGGTCTCCCTACAATGAAGGAGAGAAGCGTTGAGTGTGGTTGGATCTTGTAGTGCCGGTGGAATAGGAACCGGACGGATGCTCCCCAGAATGGACAAGGAGCCAGCGCCGTAAGGCTCTGTTTCACAAAAAAGACAAAAAAAAAAGATAATAATAATAATGATAATAATAATAATAATAATAAGAGGTCATCATTGCAATTGATTTTGTGAAATACCTCTCTTGCTCGCTCGCTTCCTGTTTGCTTGCGGCGGAGTGCCTGCCTCTTGCTGACCGGGTGATGTATTTGTTTGCCAGGTGTTCGATCACATTGTTGATGCTTTGGACGATGCATCACCAGGGGTTTGTGCCGCTGCCTGCTTCTGCCTTCAAACTCTTTCAAGATCAGTTAAGGTGCGTGCTGTGCGTACCACCACAACCCACCGGGCAGGCACACAATTTCTTCCCAGCCAGTCTCTAAATTTGCTGCCTTTGTTGTCTACTTCGTTCATTATGCTACGTAGCATGTGCTGCATATATTATGAAATGTATGTGCAAGCTCCGCATTCACAATGCATTGCAGTTCTGGGTAATTCAAAGAAGGTTCAAGATAAAAGCAAGCAGGTCGTGGAAAGGGATTGATAAGTTCTTCCGCGAGCAATGCCCACCCCTGCCCCCTGTCGGTCCCTTTCCCCCCCAATACACCCTTGTTAACGTGGAATAAGTGTCTACCAACCCCAAACCAACCAGAAGGACAACGTGATTTTGTTTAAATGTTTGTCATATTGGTACCGTCTGGAATGCGGGGGCAATGCAGATGGTTTACCTGGGTATTCCATCAGCATCTTGTAAGCCGCCTCTACATGAGAGGGCCACCTTTTTTTCACAAAGTAGTGACTTTGTAGGAGTGGAGGCCCGGATTTCCCCCTGCTGGACTGCGGTAAATGGTGGCACGCCTGGCCTAACTAGGCTCGACAGGTCACGTCCAGAGGTAGTGGTGGTTGAAGTCTATCATTTGGTCTGTTTACAACTATGTATATTTCCCTATGAGGCGTTCTATCTTGTGTTTCTTGCGATTTATGCCTGCATGCTTGAGATGCTTCATGCCTTCAGACAGGAATTACAGGAAACTGCATGGGAGAGAGAGGTTCTTTTCAGGTTGTTTGTCTTATCGCGAGATGGGAAAGTGTAATTGTCAAGTTAGTATATTGTATCAGAGACCGAGACTCTTCAGCTTACGGACCGCGGCTGCTGACTCTCTTCATCGGCACTGGCTTTTGGCCGTCGGATGATGATTTTGGTGGTGGGATGGAGGGGAACCTAGGATGGTGTTGGCTCATTATTTGTTTGGGACGTATCACACGTGTTTTCCTTTGTGTTATGATCCTTGCCAATTCCGAAGTGCAAACACACAAGGAAATATAATGCCCTTCCAGTTGCAATAGAAATGAATGAACTTGAGAGGAGAGAGAGACAAAGGAAGAAGAAGAAGAAGAAGATGAACACCAGCAAAAGACCAATAACAAATCTCCCTTCTCTTCGCCAACCAATCTCCTCCTCTGTTATCTCCCCCTCTCTTATTCAACAATAATAATAATAATAATAATAATAATAATCATAATAATAATCATAATAACAATGAATGGCTGAACCAGAGCCAATGTCCGAATCCCTCTCCTACTGCCAGCACAGTAGGCTCTGCAGCATCCAGTATGAGGTCCGCCATAACCATGACCTCCATCTTCCTCCACCTCGGACAGATGCTGGCTACGGCGGACTACTAGGGGCCCTGCCCCAATGTTCAAAAGACAACGCAAAAGCAGCTTTGTCCTCTCTACTTCAGGCCGCCATGCCTGACTCTGCCCTGAAGCCTTCTTGATGTAGCGCTACCCCACTTGGGGCCTTCCAGATGCTGCACCTACCAAGGACATGAAGATGGCGCCCACCATAGCCAGGTAAGTACCCCAGCCACTCTCCTCCCTAGTCCCCTTCTTCCTCCCCCTCCCACCAGGCGCTGCCCAGCATAGCTGAGGTGGAAGCCCTGGCACTCCCCCCCCAGGGCTCCACACAGCGCTGCTGCTCCAAGCGCTCAAGCAGCATGACGCCCGAACTTGCTGTGCCTGGGATGTAGCGGCCAACTTGCCTCTTGGGTGGTGACTTCCAGGCCGCGTGGCCTCCAAGCAACTGGTCCCTCCTCCCTTTCGGAGGGAAACAGCATTGCAGACCTGATATCTACCGCTACAGGCCCTAGACTCTACACTACTGGACCTCTACTCCTGAAAGTATTGACTTGTCGTCTTCTTCTGCTCGGCCTACCGCTACTTAAGTACTACTGGTACCTGCCTACCACTGGTTGAGTGTGCCCTAAGCTACTCCTTCGGCCATGAGTTTTTTCCCCACTGCAACCGTCAAAGTCATGGCGACAGGTAAGTACTGGCCCTGCTGGCCTCGCAAACAAACAAGTGCCCTGGCGGGCCACACACACATTCAGGCAGACGGGCATCGGACAGGCACACACACCAGCAAGCGCGGACACACACAGACGTAGAAAAGTCAGCCAAAAGAGGGAATCTCAGCAAAGCACACATTCTGGCGGTAAAACCCAGAAACCAGCAGTGTTATCAGTCTGTGTTTTTGCAGGCCCTTACATTTGTTTGACATGTCCGTGTTTTGTCGTCTGTACCGCCATGAGTCGCTTGGTATGGTCTGATGCATGTTCATCCGGTTGTGGCATTTCTCCTCACATTGCGGTGACTGTTTTTGGACGCTGGATTCCTGCTGCAGTGCATCACTCGGAATTGTTCCTTGTGGTTCTCGAGCGCTGCATCAGCAGCACACTCGGGTGGGCGTTTAAACCAACTGTTCACCCAGACCTGTTTTGCCGGTCCAAAAAAATGCATTTTGCCGAGCCTGAAAGTGAGCGGGTACCGTCCTCTTTGAAAACTAAAGTGCTGGACCTGCTGCCAGCACTTTGGAGCAAAAAGCAGGCCATATGTGGTTTTTTTATTCCGGTTGTTATTTTTACAATGTTTTCACTCGTGTGGCACCCCAGCCAGGCCGAAGGAAAAAGGGGAAGAAAATTGCGTGGGGTGAGATTCAAATAGGTACACGGCAACGTTCGCGAAACACCGAAAAGACGAAGTACAACTAAAGTGCTGTGCATTCTTGCAGTCAGATTCGTCAAGGTGTGCGCGCAATTGCAGTCAGATGCTTTCTGGAAAATTGCTATTGTGAGTATGCCCTCAGTTGGGCGGTGTATATTTCCTCCCGCTTCACAGGCAGGGTGAAATTTTCCTACAATGCTCTGGACGTTCTTGCAGTCAGATGCATTCTGGAAATTTTGAGGCCTCGTTCTTTCTTTCTTTTTCTATATTTGAAAAAAACATGTGCTGGGCTGGGCGGTGGAACTGGGCCAGACGGACCGGGTGGGGTCCACCCAGCAAAACCAGGAGGCCTGAAAAGTGGGCCAGAATGTTTTTTTTTTTTGTTGAAAACAGGGTCTTGCTGCGCTAGCCAAACGCAGCCCAAATCGGCAGAGAAAGTGGTGAATGTTGCCTTTTCATGTCGGTGGTGGGAAGGGGGGGGGCGGGGGGGGGNATATTTGAAAAAAACATGTGCTGGGCTGGGCGGTGGAACTGGGCCAGACGGACCGGGTGGGGTCCACCCAGCAAAACCAGGAGGCCTGAAAAGTGAGCCAGAATGTTTGATTTTGTTATTGAAAAAGGGATCTTGCTGCGGTAGCCAAACGCAGGCCAAATCGGCAGAGAAAGTGGTGAATGTTGCCTTTTCATGTCGGTGGTGGGAAGGGGGGGGGCGGGGGGGGGGGCGCGGGGGGGAGTGAATGGTGTGTTGTATGTGTGTTAGAACAGCACGAGGAGGAGGAGGAGGAGGAGAAGAAGAAGAAGAAGAAGAAGAAGAAGAAGAAGAAGAAGAAGAAGAAGAAGAAGCCTGACAGAAAAGACACAGATGCCCGGTCTCGAAAACAAAAGTCGCCTTGTGGAGACGACGTTTGACAAAAAAAAACATAAGTTTAGATCAATCTTTATCTGCTGAAATACAGGATGCTTCGAAAAAACAAGGATTTGCTAGAAAAAAAAGAGATGATCTTCATAAATTAGCTGAAACTCTGACGCCACACTTCGTGCCGGCACACGGACAAAAAAGTTGAAGGCGTTCCCGAATTTTCTTGGTAGAGGCAACTTCGTTGCACTTTTATACATGTCTGAATTTGAGAAAGGCGGAAGAAAAGGCGAGATGGCGGGTGGGAGAAACAGGGAAGAAGAAGAGCAAGAAAGGACGACGACCACGAAGAAGAAGAAGAAAGGAAGAAGAAGCTGGCGGGAGTGAATAGCGGCCGAGATGGCAGGCGGCGTAACGGGCGAAAACAAAAATGTCGAGATGGCGGGTGGGGGAAAAAATCGCGACTGGAGGAAGGAGAACAAGAATGGAGGAAGAAGAAGAAGAAGAGGAAGAATAAAACGCAGGAAAGGAGGAGGAGGAGGAGGAGAGGAGTTGCAGAGGAAGAAGATGGCGGTGGTGAATAGCGGGCGAGATGGCAGGCGGCATAACAGAAACAAAATGTCGAGATGAAGGGTGGGGGAAAAACTCACGGCTGGAGGACGGAGGAGAAAAAGAATGGAGGAAGAAGAAGAAGAGGAGGGATAACATACAGGAAAGGAGGAGGAGGAGGAGGAGGAGGAGGAGGAGGAGGAGTTGCAGAGGGGAGGGCGGCCGTGAATGGAGGGTCGTAACAGGGTCGCGAGTTTACCGGCATGAGGAACAAGAACAAGAGTATGAAGAGAAGAAGAAGAAGAAGAAGAAGAAGAAGAAGAAGAAGAAGAAGAATGGAGGAGGACGAAGAAGAAGATGAAGAACGGAGGACGGAGAAGACGAAGAACAACAACGAAGGACGACGGAGAAGAAGAAGATGAAGAAAGGAGGAGAATGAAGAAGACGAAGGAAGGAAGAGGTGAGAGAAGAACAACAACGAAGGACGAAGAAGATGAAGAAGGGAGTTGGTTGAAATCGTACCTTGAATAGCGGGCTACGAGGGGGGCTTGACAGGCTTTGGAGCGGGCACGGCAGGGGGCTTTTGACAGGCTTTGGAGCAGGCACGGCAGGACTCTATGAGCGGGTGCGGCAGGGGTCGGTGAGCGGACCATGGCGACGGGTTGGAGCGGGCTTTGGAGTGGGCTTTGCACAGCTTGTGTGAGTAAAATCCACCACTTTTGTCAGAGTATGGGCCTCGCTCCACTACGCACCACATGCACAAAAGGCAAAAACTATGGTGTCCAGGATGCATTTGACTGAGGGATAAAGACTCGCCACGTCATCCAGTTAGCAATAGGGCCTCACTCCGCTACTCGTCAAACGTTTTCACCTCCTGATGAGCCGGTGAAAGTCCAATGAAATGGTCTGGCACCGTTTTTGTCTTTTGGTGAGCGAACATCGTAAGACACACAATTACACAAACATTCACAGAGAGAGAGGTGGGGGGGGATCCAGCTGCTGGTCGAGGGGTGGGCTGGTAGGCTTGGCTGTGAGTGCTCAGTGTTTTTTGGCAGAATGTAGAGTGCGCTGACTTTGGGTTATTGACCAAAAAGTCTGAAAAAAGTCAGGAACATAGATTGAGGGCGGATCATTTCAATTTTTTCTTCTTTGAAGTGACGACAAATAAATGTGCATGGCAAAAAAATTGCTGGCGGCAAAAGAAGGCCTTGTTTTCTCCCTGTTGCTACTGGTAGGCCCATGTTGTTCTTGTTCGGTGGTACAGGCTTGGAAAAGGAGTACCGGGTACTTCTGCCACCAGCACTGCAGAACGTATTTTGTCGAACCGTGAAAAACAACGAACCCTGGCCTGCCCAGCCCAAAAGCTCAGGCCTACCGCGTCACAACGAATCTGATCGGCATATGCATTTGGTTTGGTGTAAATATCGTTTCGCAAGCAAAAACGTTTTTTGTCTATTTTGTAAATTTTTCCTCTGGTGCGGCGGAACCTTGTCCTACATATCTGATTTCTTTCAGAACTTTCCATCAACAGAAATGAGAAATAAAAATCGCCAAAGTTGGGCTACTCAGAATTTTGCCCACTCGCCAAGACCCGCCTTGGGTCCTGGAGGCCTGGCCTTCATTTTGCAGTGCGTATTGGAGGAAGATAGGGGGTTGGTACTGGTGGTTTTGAAATAGTGTTGGGGGCTGGTGGTGGTCTCATGTCATCTGATCAGCACACTAATTTGATTTTTTGTTTTGTTTTGTTTTGTTTTTTCTCAAACATCGTTCTCTCTTTAGCAATAACAGCTCTGTTCCTACTACGTCCTATCCCTTCGATCGATTCGTTAAAATTTCGTTTCCTTGCCACCTGTATTTCTTGTTATATTGGGTATCCTAGAGCATGCATACTCACAGGAGGACCTTTTCGACTGATCCCTGGACGTGATTGCAGACAGATCCATCTAGGTCTGGTCGTAATTGCAGTCAGAGACATGCATTTAGGAAAGCGCTAGTGTGAGTATGCCCTGAGTACCTCCTCTCAAACTTCCTCTCTCCCTCTACAAGCCACAAACATCTCGTCATACGTCTTTCTGATGCAGGCGGCGCTGGGCCGGGCCTTCTTGGTCAATGAAAGAAAAGGGTGATTGGTGACTGTGACCGTCAGTTGTGCTTTGTTTTGACATTGACTGGCTGTCGCTCCCCTCTGTATTTGTATTTTTATGATCATGGGCGGGTAATGTTTGATTATTACGGGTGTATGCGGTTTTGGTTATGGGTTTGCGGGTATGGGGTGCAGGTACTAAGAACAACATTTAAAGACCGGCGAGTCTTGATGGCTTTGCTGAAACTTCTTCGAGATTCGTCAGTGGCAGTTCAGGTATTTCAAGTAGCATGTGTTGAGGATGTGTTTCAATTGACATCTTGAACTGTGTTACCAACCGGGCTGCCCGGGTCCCCTTGGTTGCCCGGGCGGCCCGGGCGGGCAAGGGCCGGGGAAGGTCCCTGTTAAGAAAAAAAAAAAAAAAATCCGAAAAATTCCTCATGGTCGGATCAGAATTCTCTCTTATATGTCCTCTTCTCCCTCTTTGCCGACGGTTACCGGGCAGTTCTGTTTGACGATATATGACGATATATATACGACGAAACAGTTTGTCACAGCCCCTCGTTTGTTGTCCTCTTCTCCCTCTCTGCCTATACGGTTTACCGGGCAGTTCTATTTGACGATATATACGAAACAGTTTGTCACAGCCCCTCGTTTGTTGTCCTCTTCTCCCTCTCTGCCTGCGGTTTACCGGGCAGTTCTATATATATATACCTCGTTTGTTGTCCTCTTCTCTCTCTCTGCCTACGGTTTTACCGGGCAGTTCTGTTTGTGACGATATATATCGTCACAAACAGAACTATAGATATAGATATATCATCAAACATATATCTATATATATGACGATATATATGACGATATATATGACGATATAGACACTGTTGGTCTATCGGTGTAAGGCTCTTGGCATTGCTGCTGGTTGCACACTTATGCTGATTGCACACTCATCGGGAGACGCAGTTTCACATTTACACCAAGCTCCCTCTTTGACAATGCTGCTGACTGTGAACAGCAAACAAAAAGGACGACGGCAGGAATCCCGACCTGCTGCCCTTGTTTTTTCTTTTTCTTTTTCTTTTTGCATGTTATCACTGTGCCCGTTTTTTGCTTTTATTCTTTGTTTCGCAAAGTGCGCTCTTTTAGTTTGTAGTGATGTGACAATATATATATGTATACCTTAAAAGATGGAGTGGTCCTCGAGTGACGCTCCCCCCGGGCCCAGGAGAAAGCAGGAGGAAAACGGGGTAGGAGCATGTTGTGGTGCACTTTGTGCTGTGTGTCGTTTTCTCCGTTTTCATGATTCGTTTTTTTTTTGTCATTTTCTTGGTTTTTGTGGGGGTGTCCACTATTCACCACATGCACAAAAGCGAGAAAATATGGTGGTGTATCTTTCTATCTTCTAGCAGAAGATTCATTCTCATTGTATACGTATCTGGTGAGTAGCGAAGCAATGCCTGAAGTCCCTCATCTCTTTTTTTTTTTTCTTTTGTCGAGCCACAGGACTCGCTCCACTACTCGCCACACGCACAAAAGGCGGACTATCTTTCCATCTTCTAGGGGAAGATTCGTTGTCATTTTACAGATCTGTGGCGAGTAGTGCAGCGAGGCCCGAAGTCCCCAGCGCAGCCTGACAACCTGTCTGTCGCTCGAGGTCTCCAAGAGACCCTCGCTCCACTACTCACCACATGCACAAAAGGCAAAAAATATGGTGGCATATCTTTCCACCTTCTAGGGGAAGATGCATTCTCATATTAGACATTTGTGGTGTGTAGCGCAGCGAGGCCCGAAGCCCCTGGCACGGCCTGACAGCATGTTGGGATACAAGTCCATACCGGCGAGCATAGCTCAGTTGGTACACCCGTGAACTGTTGAAATGCAGAGCCAAGTTCGAATCCAGATCCCATCAACCCGGCCCGTGTCGAGTTGCCCGTGTGCCCCACAGTGGATGGCCCCGCCCAAGACCCTCTTTTCTCTCATCTTGCCCGTGTGCCCCACAGTGGATGGCACCGCCCAACACCCTCTTTCTCTCATCGCGTCTATTGGGCAGCAGATCCACTTGTGCTAAATTAAAAAGAAGACTTTAAAATAAAAAAATATTGTAGATCTCTACTACCTTATTGAAGTTTATCAGCCGCGGGCTCTGGCACACCCCGCCGTGGCCAATCTGGGCACCCGATAGTGGAAACAAGTGGTCGATATTCATACTGAAACGCTTTCTTTGCTCGACACTTGGTTAGGCAGTTGGTGGACAAGTGGATAGTCTGCCTGTTCGAGAGAAGACTGGCAGTGAACGTAGAGATCTTCTGCAAATGTCAGAGATTTTCCGAGAGTGTCATACAATTTTTCAGAGACCAAAGGGTTCAGCGGAGCGAAAATTTTCGGGCCTGAATACAGTCACGTTCGGGGCCGTATGCAAAAAAAAGAAAAGAAAAACAGTCAGAATTTTGCACCACCATATTTTTCGTATTTCGGGGGGGGGAGGGGGATGCCATAGAGGAATGTTTGAACACAAGTATATAGCAAAGCCCGACCACGTGCCTTGCTCTACTACTTGCCATATGACAGCGCTCTACTACTCACTAACTGAGGGAAATGAAATGAATCTTCAGCTTGAACATGGAAAGGTACGCCTGCGGAAGGATAGAGAAAAAAAAAGATATATCGCCATACACTTAGTCTTTTGTGCACTGAGAGCGTTGCGATGGCTTTGCCCTCTCCCCCCTTCTTCCACCACTTTCCAAAACTGTCACATGGTGACAGCACCTGATGAAGTAAAATAGTGTGCAAATGTGGGCACATTGTTGTTTTTACACGTCTGTTTTTCTCTCAGGGGGAAATTTTGAGTTTCTGTGGTTGCATACGTGAATAGCTTTGATGTTGATAGATCGTTGTCTGGGCTTGCCTCACCTTGCTTCACTTGGGCTTTTGCTGTGAGTTTTTTTTTGTTTTCTTTTTCACCTTGGTACTTCTCCTTCCTGTAAATGATAAAGGTCAGGTTCAATGAACTTCTCACAGCGCCCCCAGCGCCAAAATGTTGGGATTACCGCGATCCAGACACTTTATTGGACCATTGAATCGGCAGGAGTGACGGGCGGTGTGTACAAAGGCCAGGGACGTAATCAGCTCGATCTGATGATTCTGATGACGCACGCTTACTACTGTCTTCACCCGAATAAAACACCGGATCGCTATCACTGCATCTGGTCTGAAAGTTGCCCCAAATATGGCTATTATGATATGGCGTTTTATTTGGGTGAAGAAGATGGTAGTCGTCGTGGTTTTTGCACTAATGTTTTTGCAGGATCGGGTTTCTGTTTTGCAGGAGGCAGCGTCGGGGGCACTCTGCAACGTTGTGCTGGAGTTTTCCGATCTGAAAACGGTATGTGACCTTTTGCTGAATTGGCAGCGACTACAAGATGAAGGGACGTGGTAACTTGTAATCGGTGAAAATGTCCGCCGGCTTTAAAATTATCACTGTGAAGGTCCGGAAATCTCTCCATCCCATTCTGATTTCATATTTCTGTCAATAACCCCCTTACCACCTACAGGCCGGACCAGTCAGAGTCTGTCTGCTTGCATACAGTTGTCGTCTCCACTCAGTTACCTTCTCCCTCTCACTCTCTCTGTCGTTTTCCTCTTCTTCCGTCTACTCTCTCTCTCTCTCTCTCTCTCTCTCTCGCTCTCCCTCTCTTCTTCTCTCACTTTGGTTGTGTGCCTCCGTGTCTTCCTGATGATGGAGAGTGAAGAGGTATTTGGTACAACTGGAGCATATGCTGTAGTTGTCAGACTCAGACATAGGTGCACGCCTAAAATCAGGTCATGAGTGCCAAAAAATGCAAATGTTGCGGATACAACGGTTATGTGCTTGATTGGGTTTACAACTTCACATCCAATGCTGCATCCACATGTTCCCATAAACACATGCAATAACAGGGCTACTGAAGAGAGCAGATTCACACGAATACAGGATGAAAGATACAGAGCGGAAGCATACACCAAAAACAGAATTGATAAGTGTTTTCAATTCTTCAAAGTTCCCCCTGCTCTCGCCACCTCGATTAGGCTCCACTCCTCAAGAATCTCAACCATATTTTAGAAATACAACTTAACACCCCTGTTCAATCCCCAATAGATTTGACAAAATTCCCTGAAACTTCTTACTCACAACGACTGCGCGTATCCCCCAATGTTCCTCAAGTACCAGCGCTGATCCTGCGCACATCCTGTCCCACCAATCAGGTAGCGCCTCCGGCAGCTATGCAAAGCAAGCTGGCAACCTCCAAACAGCCGTGCAATGAAGAGGAGAAACAGCGCCAGGAGGAACAGCCTCTTATAAAAGCTTCGACAAGCTGGGCAGCCCCAGCTATGGCCGCCACACACAAAGAAGAAGATCTGGCCGCGCGCTGGAAATAGCACAGCTCCATTTCCCGGCATCTAAAACCAAGGAAAAATGAAAAGAAACCTACACGCTTCGTCCCTCCCCTATTTACCTCTACAGCCTATCTGCATCTCGACTGTAGGCCTACCTGAACCGGCGTCCGCGCAGTCAGACCTAAAAGCAGAAAGTAAAAGTCCCCCCTAAAAAAAACGAAGCAACCAAAATTCTGAAAATTTCAGAAATGTCCCTCTCAGGACCAGGCTGGAAATGGGCATATGTAATGGCCCAGGAATGAGACAAATTACAAGGGTCCTACTTACTGACAACAACTGGGGAAACTGCAAATTCATTGCACAAAGACAGCACAGAACTTGAGCCACCATTACCTTTCACAGGCAAACACGAAATACAGATATAGCCTCACACTGCATTCGTCGGGTGAACAGTGCTACTGGACCTCGATGGCTGGTTGCGGCAGCCAAAAAAAACAGAAAAATGTCACGCTGGTGCTTCGGCAAAGCTTGGTGAGCAGTTCTTTCCCACCTTGGCGAAAAGAGGCCTGGAGGTAGTTGTGGTTAAAGGGGGGGAAAAACAACAACAGTACGGAACTCTTACCAAGCACAGTGGTCATTCTGGCAATTTGACCGACTGGTTGTCGAGTATGGTAAAATTGCTACTGTGGTTATTTTCAGTTGTGCTATGAACATAAACTCATATCGAACAACCGTTGCTGTGGTACTTGTTTTTTACTGCTGCGGTGACTGTCAATGACAGACAGTAATTTGTTGTGTCCCATTTTGTCACGGGAAGTGGCGCCAATTCTGTGATGTTGGGTCTTCTGCACCTATTTTTGGGATCCATTCCTGCCGCATTTTCATGCACTGAGTGATACTCCATCGTCTTAGTATGATGGGATCAAGGAATTTGATTTGGTGCAGGTTTGTCTCCTTTGGCGTTTGGGTTTTCATCCGAACAGGGATATCTGGTACTCTCTCCTGCTGCTTCTTTTCCCGTGTTTGTTTTCTGTCTTTGATGAAGATAAGCATGGATATCTAGTTCCCTCTCTTGCTGCTTCTTTTCCCGGTTGTTGTTTCCCGTCTTTGATGAACATAAGGGCATCATACTTCGCATCATTCCGAATTCAAAAAGACCCATATACTACTCCCTTCAGCCAAATCTGAGAACTGAAGGGAAGAAAAGACAAATGACATTCTGCTGGANCGCATCATTCCGAATTCAAAAAGACCCATATACTACTCCCTTCAGCCAAATCTGAGAACTGAAGGGAAGAAAAGACAAATGACATTCTGCTGGATTGTCCAAGCAGCGCAGGTCTACACTGAAAACATCTCTGTTTGCAATCCGTGTGTTGTTCAGTCTGCATGTGCGAGAACACCAATGATGCAATGAACCAGTCGGTTCCACTCCCAATTCGGATTATGCATCACAGCGAAGGCTGAACGAACATACGCATCAACAGCGAGATGGCAGATTAGCCCAATCCGAGATGAAAACACTTCAAAGTAGTCGATATTATACAAATATCGAGTTCCATTCATGAGCAGCTATGGATAGTATACAACCAATACGAACACCCACATCACCTCTCTCTCTCCCTCCGTCTCTCTCTCTCTCTTTCTCTGCACTTATCTCTCTTGCTCAGCTCTTGGATAACTCACACTTGCTCTCTGAGTGCACTTGCATCTCTCTCTCTCTCTCTCTCTCTCTCTCTCTCTCTCTCTCTCTCTCTGTACCCTACAGCTATGGTCACCGTCTTCCTCCTTAGTAACCCTAGCTATGGTGCACGAGCGCCCTTCATCTTTCCTCAACCAACCCCGAGTGCCTCTGTCTGATGGCTACAAGCATCCAGCAGAGCTTCTGCAGCCCACGAATTGACAAGTGAAGTACACACTGCAGTGTAGCTCTATGAATAGCAGCTCAATTGATGTTTCTGTCGGCTGTCATGAGGGTACCAGTCTCTGCGGCTTGTCGGCTTCATCTTGCCAGTTCCCTTTGAATGCCAGGAGCTGGCAAATATATGCTTAGTTCACAGTCTGGTAAGTTGTGCAATGCAGCTGCTGGTGGTTCAATCAGACCTATCGTCGTATGAGAGAAATCAGACACATAAGGCACATGAGACATGTCGGACATCGTAAGACATATCTGACTTACCAGACTTCTCAGATAGATGTCGAACGCATCTACCACACCATAGATCCTGCTAATCGTCTTCACGGGGCCATCTGTGCCGGTTACGCTTTGCAGGCACGGAAAGCCCATATCACTGACCGGTGACCGAAAACTTGGACCGGCCGGTGATCTGGGTCGTTTGTGCACTGGGACAGGCAAGATGCGCGGCCGGTCTGAGTTTTTGGTGTTCTGCAAAAGGACTTCGCTTGTCCCAACTCAAGGGCTTTCGTTGTCTGCGAAAGGATTGAATATGCTTTGATTTTGGATCTGCTCATCTAGGTGGAATAGGGGCTGTTGTGGTGTCCCACCCCTTGTCACAACACACACACACACACACACACACACACACACACACACACACACACACACACACACACGCACGAACATACATTCACACACCTCCCCCACTTATACCTTTGATACCTGCCTCGACCACTCCTCACACTTACATACATACAAGTACTTACACACACAATGAACACGCGCACACACTTGCACCAAATGCACATGGGGATACGCGCACGTAACAGATAAAACTTATTTTTGCTTCCAAAAACAGAATATACAGCWCTCCCCTACGCTTTTACTTCTATCATTCGCCTGGGCACTGGGTCTCTGCACAGGCAGCACTCACAAACCCTTTTTAACACGCTTAGATTTATTTTGTATACCCCCCCCCCCCTTCTTTCCCTCCGCAGAGACCACTTACCTTCGCCCCCCTTCCCCCTCTTCCCCGTAGGCTTACCCACCCAGTAGCATCGACCCCCAGTATGAACTTGGCCACGGTCCAAAAAAAAACCCACCCAAACCCCTAGGAGACTAACTTAAACCCAGACCTGCACACACGTCTGATATGACAGAACCCACCCAGTAAAAACAAAAAGCCCTCGGCTCACCCTCACCCCTTCCCCCGCCAGGCCGAGCTGGTAGTGAACTGTAGCCTCATTGTCCTCTCGCCCCACGACAATCCCGCCCTCCCAAGATAACCCTCCACTCTGCCACAACCGGAGGAACCGGACACATGTCTGAATGTACCAAAACTTGGATTTCAAAACGAAACTCCCACACGCACGTTGCCGAACAGAGGACACCACCCCGACCCCGAGGAGACCGCAGAAGTAGAGTTAGAACGGAACGAAGGAGACAAGGGATGTCTCTGCCACCATGCCCAATAGGTGCACGACCTCTCCCCGCCGCTTCCTACTGCATCTCTCTTGCCTAGGACATCCCTGCACGAACCTTTTCCCTCCTCATACATCCTGCAGAGCGCCTGAGCTCACACCCCCCACAATGGCACCCCCCTGGCCCTCCTACCTCCGACGGCATCTCCCTCCTCCTCCCCCCACCCACGCGACCATGACCACTCGTGACCGTTGAACGTGTACCCCTTTATATATGAACGCTGCCCGCCCACCTTCCCACATCCCCATGTGCTGGGATGAACGTCCATCCGCTGCTCCCTCACATGTGACACTCTCCAGTCCTTACCACCACTCCACGCAGAAAGGAGCACATCGCCTCCCCCCCAGCCTCGCACTCCTCCACGTCAGACGGCAGCCGGACTGAACCTTCCTACCCGCTCTGTTATCACACCCACTGGTGCTGGCACTGGACTGCGCCAAACATGGCCGCCATCGCCGAGGAGAACATCACGGACGTTGATATCAACGAACATGCGGTAAGAAAAGTTGCCCCCCACGCATGCTTGCCTTACCTCCCTCTCCTTCCTTCCTCTCCCATCTTCCAAACAAAGAATCCTTCTCTTTCCCTCTCGTACCCTCCCTCCCCTTCCACTCCACCCCCTCCCTTCGTCCCATCCTCCTTCCCCCCCTTTTCCCCACWCTCTCTCTCTTGCTCCCCTCCYAGAGATGGTACTCTTTGATCCGATACCCTCTGATGARCTGTTCTTGGCGYGAACAGCGAAAA